AGTGTTGGAGGGTATGATGCCAACTAGGGGATTCTAGGCATTTTTGTAGTCCAACACACCCACCCCTGAAACCTGTACATTTCTATGCTCTGCTAAGGTTAAACAAGAACAAAAGAAACTGAAGAAAGCTGCTTATTAATCCATTGGGACTGGGGGTCAAAAGAAAGTTTCTGAATTTTATAGAAGCAACACCTTGCACTCATCACAAATGTCGGGAGAGAGAGAATTCCTGCCTGTCTGGTAACACTGTGTCTATAGCTTTTCATAATTCCTGCCATGTATTTCTGCTGTTTGTGGCATTGTTATCATGACTTCCTCATAGATTCCCCACCAAAATACATTTTGATGAACCAACAACTTCAGCGATAATTATAAACCATTATTTCAAAATAATAGAAAGTCATTATTGGAAACTCATGGTGTGTGGGTAGCCTCCTTTCCTCTCATGAAGCTTGACAAGCTTCCTTTGATCATGCAGAGTTTAATCATTCAAGTGCCTGAAGACATTAGGGCTATATTATAATTCTGAAAAATAAAGGATATATTGAAATACTGTGATCTGTTCCTGTTTTTAACAGTGTTGGAAACTATTTTTCCAAGCACATGCTTTCAACTCCTCAAATTATCAACAGATGCTTACTGACACAGGCATAACAATAATAAGCGAGTATGGTTTATACACATGCAAATCTAGAAAGTACGTTGCAGAGATAAATGCAGGCATATGATGAGGAAAGGCAAATATTGTTCACAAACAAGGTGAATCCCACCAGCAGGCAGCGTAGATTTGGAGTTGCCTGTCAAATGCTTCCCTGCGGGGGAAGAAAAAAGGATGCAGATGGTTTAGCTTAAAAAAAACAAAAAAACAAGCAAGTTTTCTAGATTCCCCAAATGTTTTTCCCCTAGATTCTGGATCTGATTTCATCAGGACTGTGATGTAGGAATTTTGATGTAGGTAGCCTGGAGAAGAGAAGGTAGGAATTTTGATGTAGGTAGCCTGGAGATGTAGGTAGCCTGGAGAAGAGAAGACTGAGAGGTGATATGATAGCTGTGTTTAAATATTTGAAGGGATGTCATAGTGAGGAGAGAACAAGCTTGTTTTCTGCTGCTCCAGAGACTAGGACCAGAAACAATGGATGCAAGCTGCAAGAAAAGAGATTCCACCTCAACATTAGGAGGAACTTCCTGACAGTAAGGGCTGTTCGACAGTGGAACACACTCCCTCAGAGAGTAGTGGAGTCTTCTTCCTTGGAGGTCTTTAAGCAGCGTCTGGATGGCCATCTGTTGGGGATGCTTTGATTGGGAGTTCCTGCATGGCAGGGGGTTGGACTGGATGGCCCTTGTGGTCTCTTCCAACTCTATGATTCTATGATTCTATGATAAATACACCCTCCTTCAGGGCTAGTCTGCATGTAAACGTATTATATGCATCACTGCAGATTTTTGCATTGACAGTTAATTGTCTTCACCTTTCTACACAAATTCACATCTACAGTCGTCCCTCCATTTTTGTGGGGGATCTGGTCTGGACTCTCCCTTGTGTAAATAGAGACTCGCCAATAGGCTTGAATGAAGCACATCCCCATAGGCACATGGGGGCACACCGCATTGATCTTAACAGAGGTCACCTGTCTGTGAATATTCAAAACTGCGGATCTCAAGTCCATGAGAATTGAGGGGCGAGTGTATTCGCATCTATTCAACCTCTCTCTGCTGAAAATGTGCAGCCATCCTGATCCATACGTGCGATAATGCACATTCCCATGCATATTCCGGTAAGAATCATGAAACCTTTTCCTGTGGAGTTTAAGAAGTTTTTCTGCCTCCCCCCCCCAAAAAAATGCCCAGACTCCTGTGAATTACATTCTATTCAACTAGAATCAGGATTATTTTAATAGTACAGACAAGCCCTCAGTCATTACCATACCCTCTGTCCTGATTTGGCAGGGAGAGTCCCGATTAATCTTCTGTCCCACTTTCCCAGCTGCTTTTAAAATGTCTCATTTTCTTTATCCTACTCCCCCTTTCCCCTTTGTTCTT